TGATTGCAAAAGATTGCTCTCAGCAATAAGACCGCCTTACTGTACTTATACAATTGTATCGTTGTGTTTGTAAATTGTCTTGTTTATTTGCTATATTGTATAATGCAAACAAAGTATACTCATTCATTCATTCATAATTATTAGTGACTCTAGTAATAGAATAAGTGGAAACATTTCTTTGTATGTTTTTTTATGCAACGTAGAATGGTAAGCAATCTGACGGCTCACCTGGTGGAAAGAGGTAACCTTCGCGTATAGACATGAGCAGTACCACGGACGTAACAGAGTATACTGTTTCGCCCATGATACCCCCCATGCGTTTTCTGCCATTCAAGCCATTCCTGAGGATTTCATTATATTTTCTAAAATTGGTGTTATAAATATAGAAAAATTAGCCAAAGAAATGATATTATTTTATTTTGCCAATAGCTATTCGTGAAGTAAATAATTTATGTGATAACCAATACCCTACACAACCTCGTATAGAAAATGGAAGAGTCGACAGATAAGAAAAATAGTATAGTGTAATATATATATATATATATATATATATAGGTATTATCATGGGCGAAACAGTATATTCTGTTATGTCTATGGTACTGCTCATGTCTATAGGCGACGGTTATCACTTTCCATCAGGTGGACCGTCAGCTTGTTTGCCATTCTAAGTTGTATAAAAAAAAATTGGCAAATGTTACCTTTTAAAAAAAATATAAGATTTTTTCAATATATATCAGTATTATAAAATGGAAAAGTTCTGCTTTTTAATTTTTTTATTAGATAGATAGATATTGTTTTTGTTCTTCTGTTTATTTGTTCATCACGTTGCACCGTCCATTATATTTTCTATTATTCCTGTCTACGGTCGACTGGTAGATAACATCATATGGTGTTAAGTCCGCCATTTATTCTATCATTTATAAAAAAATATATATTTATATAACATTACAATTATAAATAAAAAAAATATTTTGATTAAAAAAATAATTTATTTTGATTTAAAAACAAAACTATTTAATCGATTTTGATAAAATTTCACTGAGGCTAATCTGAAAATAAAATCTTTTAGATAAAAAAAAAAATTTAAGCCGTCAAATTCAAAATCAAATTTTTTTTATTCAAATACACTTGTTTACAAGGAATTTTTATATCGTCATTTTTTTTTAAATCTACTGCAGGTTTCGTAAAGTTGTTATCTGTTGAGAAGAGCCCGCAAGAAACTCAACATTTACTCTTTTAAATCTTTGTTAACATTATGTGTATTTATTTTAACGTACTATGTTTAAAATTACACGTCGCCTATACACATGAACGGCACAGAATATACTGTGACGACGGCGGTACTTCCAGTTAAAAAAAAAAAGTTATGCTCAATCAATACTTATATTAATATGCATGATGGGCTATTGATAAATATCTTAGGGCAAAATATGGCGGCCGGAGTCACATCTGCATACAAATCGCCGACATAACCGAAGGCGATGTTTCATTTATTCCGGGTCTGTAGCGTACACGACAATTGCTTGGCAGTTGTAGACGGGCGACACGTATATGCATTTTTCAATATTAAACAATAGTAGCGACCTCGTACAGACAAACGTGGTGTAGGACGACCCCCTGTTAGTTGGAGCGACGACCTCGAATATATTGCAGGGATTCAGTGGATGCAATTTTTTTTAAATGGACGATAATAAAATGGTAATCCCGCTGCGCTATCGGTATACATTGGTGGGGCACCAGTGAGGGATGATAGGTGAGGATGAAGTCAGATCATCAGGTTGGTCCATCGCGATAAATTTGAGAATAATTAATCACGATGGTTTTCAGGGGGAACCGCGTGAAGGTCGACCTGACGGGGTGTATTGCTAACAATGGGTCAGTTAGACTCCATTACTAACATACCCTTTCCCTCCAGTAATGGAGATATTTTTTAATAGGTGATAATGGTATGGTAACCCCGTCTGCGCTATCAATATACACTGGCGGGGCACCAGTGATAGATTACTAATGAGGATGAAAGCAGGTCAGTTAACCCATCCTGACGTATTCTACTCGAATTAACCACGACGGTTTCCAGGCGTCAGGGGTGTTCTTCTCTAGAAATCTGTCCGATTCTAGAATAAGGACATACGGGTTTGCGACCCCGGCCTCCCGAGCCGCTGCAGTGTCCCAGTCCTTTCCGCAATTGCAGTGTCCCCTCCCCTTTCCTTTCCCACATAAGTTCCTTATTTCCCTCATTCACCAATTTCCTTTACGCTTTTCCAACGTTCCCTTCCTTTTTTCTTCAATCCTTTCCTCCATACCGTAGGTGGCGGGAACCACCAACAAATGCATTCCCAGAGAGGGTTGACGTCAGGCAGGTGGCCGGTCGTAAAACTGAAAACCAAATCTTTTTGTAATATAGATAAAATCATATTACGCCGACCACAAATGATTGGGATAAGGGTAGGAAGATGATGATGATGTTTCCAGGGGGAACCATGCGTAGAGGTCGACCTGATAGGGTATATTGCTAGTAATGGGGCTATTTGACCCCATTACTAACAATCCCTTCCCCCCAGTCAGGTCAGTTAGCCCATCATGAGTCAGTTCAAACTCCGACTTGCACTTGGTTTATATTTGGGTGGCTGTGAGCACATTTTTTTTTTAAGTTTACACTTTTATTATACCAATATAATAAAAAAGAGATATTTAGGAAAAAATAATATGCGAGTTTTTAATAAAAACAGTAGAAGTTATATATATATATTTTTTTTATTTTCGTCTGTCTGTCCGTATGCTTGTTTAGGTATAACGTAGAAACTGCTTGACTAAATTTAATGCAGTTTTCACAGATGTGCTCCTAAAGGTCTAATTTAAAATCTGGCATTATGTTTTATATCAATACACAATTTCAAAGTAGGTACCTATTTCCAAAATCCACGTGTACGTAGTTGCGGGCAGAAGCTTAAGTTATAAATGTGAAAGTTCGGTTGTTTTTTGTTTGTTACCTCCGGGCTACTTAACGACTCAACAAATCAAATAGTATTTGGTACGGAGAAGGATGTAGGTTACTTTTTATTCCGGTCAATCAATAGAATATGTATCTCGGTCACGCAGATGAAGTCGCGGGAGAAAACTAGTATATATATATATATATATATATATATATATATATATATATATATATATATATATATTTTTCAAAAAATTAGCATTGGAAAAAGAAGAGTAGGGAGAACAAAAAGACGATGGGCTGACGAATCTACAACTAATGACAGTGACTGGAGACTGGGGAGGCCTTCAACAAAAATATAAACTGAAAACTTGCCACGTCCTTCTGCCAAACGTGGCACTCCCATTATGGGGAAGGCTTATGAACGTAACAGGAGAAAAAATGATTAATCTTTGCAGAGTAATAATTTCATAATCGATTTTGTAAATAAAGAATATATATATATATATATATATATATATATATAAAATTACTTTTAACATAACGCCATCTAGTGATTTTTTCCGATTTTTATAGATGGAATATATTTTAACGTTAAATTTTTTTAAATGTATTGTTTTTAGGTCGAATTAGCTGTTGTTGTCATAAATGAATATTAAATAAAACGACCCATCTGAAGGTGATCGTATTAATATATTTTTGTACATGGGACTATATATATATATATATATATATATATATATATATATATATTGTATATATATATATATATATATATATATATTTAATTGTATATAATAATATTATATTTGGAAAGTAAATCTTTATCTTATTATATATCTAATTAATTTATTTATTCATGAAACAAAAATTTTGATATACAATTAAATTAAAAAAAAATATATTTTGAATTAATCAGAAATAATCTAATTTGAAATTTATTTTTGTTGTTGTCATAAATGAATCCAAATAAAACCCATCTGATGTTTTTATATTTTTGTGTATGGAACTATGAATGGCAGATATATATATATATATATATATATTTAATTGTATATAATAATATTATATGTATAAAGATAATTATTATTTAACTAATCAATTTATATTTTTAAAACTTTTAATATACAATTAAATTAAAAAAAATAATATCTTGAATTAATCAGAAATAATCTATTGAGTTTATTTTTCGTCTCCACTGTCTTTTTTTTTTATACAACTAGACATGAGCAGCACCATGGACATAACAGAGTATACTGTTTCGCCCACGATACCGCCTATGCGTTGCCATTTCTGAGGACTCAGGTGTTATTCCTCTGTACCCAGTAAATTCACGCCATATCCTACCCTTTAAACCGAAACACAGCCATGCAAACACAACTGCTTCACGGTTGAAACACGAATGGGACAGAGATACCCAAGCAAACGACTTTTGTCTGTATTCATGACTTTAAGAAATTTATTATGATAGTATAAAAATGTACAAGTCAGAAAGGGGTCTTCGAAAGGGGTTTTCGGTGATTTGATTGATATAGTTATGAACGACAACAACATAAATTGTCAATAAATAAAATTAAATACTGTATATATATATATATATATGTCCATTATATGGTCCCGGCAAATGGTTCAATAATTATATATATATATATATATATATATATATATATATATATATATATATATATATATATATATATATATATATATATATATATATATATATATATATATATATATATATATATATATATATATATATATATTTTGATTTAAAAAACTGAACTAATGAGTCGACTTAAAATTTCTCTGGGATTAATATATAAGTATATCCTTGCAGATAAAATAAAAAAAAATTCCATGATGGATGGATGGATGACTATTATATAAAAACAACAAATACATTTATGTTGGGAACTTCCCTCTTTTTGAAGTCAATTGATATAAGAACGTTAGTCGATTTTTATTTAGATGTCACTAATTAGCGCGCGATTGAAAATCTCAAGTCAATAAGAGACGCCGATGGCTGACAAACAATCGGATGCTCATTACTAGTCGACGCCGATAGAATTTTTTATTGCGCTCCCCTCATTACGTTGTCGTTAGTTCCATATCATCAGTGCAGTTGGACGCTTGTCACGGATAACGGCTATTAGAAAACATAATATCACAGTTGAAAATAACAGTTTATCAGTGAAGTAATGTTCCCAAAATGTGGTGGAGGATATTGACTTTTTGTGTTTTGGTCACGTTCGTGCTTTTTGTCGTGTTGAGTTGTATACACGGACGCCCTGTCGTGCAATTATTCTTCCACCGTTGCTGCGAAGACAATATAGAGAACGATCAATTGATATACGAGAATTTGGGCAACAATTTCCTCAAAGAGAGACTGGTCGCCGTTGATGACGTTGTCGATAACAGTTCTCTAGCCTCCAAAGAAGATGTGGACGAATTAATTGTAATGCTGAGGGAAAAGATGAACGTACACAACCCTGTTGACAGAACAAAGTTGAAACACGAAGATGCTTCGAGACTAGCGCTTGGTGACGTCAAAGAAACAAATATGCCAATGGAAAACGATACTAATTTCGATGATTATACAACAGATAATGCAATAATAGCGATCGATAAGGACATAGAAGGTAATACGACGTTCAATAAGGAAGTAACGGAAAAGATTGCGTCGAAGGAAAGAATTGACGTTCTAGGATAAAGGAATCAGTAATAAACTTGTAATACAAAAGGTCATAGAATTACAACGGTATAAAATTACTGTGGAAATGAAAACATCATTGTTTTTTTTATCATATTGAAAAATGTCCAAACGAAAGTTGGTGCCAAAAGTTATGGTAGCAAAGATTTCAGTTCCCATAGTGATAAATGGAAGATATAGTCTATGACAATGAGTTAATATTAGATGCGTGAAGAACTTCATATAACAAAAATGTATTCTTTTTTACATCTGTAACTTCCTTCAGTGTGAAATTAAAGTGTAAAGTTAGAATTGTCTGGAATATTCAATAAATATAATAAATATTCCTAGACACGTTATGGAAACATCCAGTCCTGAACCAAACAGTGCTTTAGTTTGGGTACTACAAAAATCACAGGTATATTTCAATCCTCATCATATCAGCCTTTCACTGTCCACTGCTGGACATTAGCTTTGCTCTAGGGAAATTTTGCCAATAGTTGGCTTGACAGGCGGATTGCCAACCGCAGTTAGGCTTTGGAGATGTTTTAAGAGGGACGTTGCCAATCCCTCGTCTTTCCTTATTCGCCTCTTACGACACCCACGGGAAAGGAAGGGGTGGCCCATTCTATGGCGGGAACTACACAGCGATATATTTCAATACTTTTGTATAATAAAAAAAAAAATTTACTCTTTATTTCAACAGTAAACGAAATAAAAAGATATTGGTTACATATAATAATAAAATATATGAAGCTAATAATATAATGTCAAAGAAAAATTAAACAAAAAAAAAACACAATGGCATCTGATACATTAGTCCTATCATTCGACACTCAGTCTTAATCACGTGCATTGAATAATGATTATTAAAACAATACGAAATGAGTTCAAAATCGATTATCTTGTTTGTTATTTGTAAATTCCAGATTTATTACTACCGGGTTCATACTATAATGTTCGGTCTAAGGTCAATTTTCTTAACTCTTCATGCTTAAACTCCGGATACGGAATTATAGAGGCACTAATAACTGTTGTTAATACAAAGATGACCAGAGGGAGATTTTGTACAAAAATCGATTGCTTGGGTACCTCTGTCCCATTCGTGTTTCAACCGTGAAGCAGTTGTGTTTGCATGGCTGTGTTTCGGTTTAAAGGGTGAGATATGGTGTGAATTTACAGGGTGCAGAGGACATCTGAGTCCTTAGGAATGGCAACGCATAGAAGGTATCATGGGCGAAACAGTATACTCTGTTATGTCTATGTTATGCAACTTAGAATGGCAAACTTTCTATCAGGTGGGCCGTTAACTTGTTTGCCATTCTAAGTTGTATAAAAAAAATTACTGTACGGGGAAAGGGATTGTTAGCAATGGAGACTAAGAATCCCATTGCTAGCAATATACCCAGCCAGGTCGACTTCCTCGCAGCTCTTCCTGGAAACCATCATGGTTCATTCCTTGTGAATTCGTCATGATGAGTTAACTGGCCTGTTTTCATTCTCATCTATCACCCTTCACTGGTGCTCCGCCAGCGTATCCCGTTAGCGCAGGCGGGGTTACCATACCATTTTCACCGATAAAAAAAAATATTGACTGTATCCCGTGAGTAATACTGTTAAATAAAAAAGTAACATTGTATTTTTATAAATTCATATAAATATTAAAATGTTATATTATATAGTAGAGTCTCTGTCTACAGTCGTACACTCTTGACAGAGTGGTCGTGGTATCTATAATAATAATTATAATAAACTTTATTAACAAATACAGGGTTACACAGTTACATGTTTTATGCCCTAGCTTACAAATTAGGGTAACCTGATGACTGTGATGATAGTGGATCTTCCATGAGGCCCTCCTTCGCGATTGAGGTCCTCGCAATGCGTCTCCATCTACTTCTGCTTACAGCCGAGCGAGAGCATTCCACAATAGACTGAGATATCTAGAGAATAGATAGAGTATCTCCATACAAATGCTTCGAAAAAAGTAGGTCAACTTTTTACCAGATTAAAAATTATTACTTTAAATTAAGGTAAATAGGTGAATTTAAAATATTGTTAGGATTAAATAATGTATTATAACATTTAATTATTTAATTTTATTCATTAGGTTTTGTTGGTAGAGAACTCTTACAGAGCAAAGCTCGATAATTGTACATCTTTATTCGAAATAAATTAAAACAATGTAATTTTTTGTATACAATAAAATATAAATAAACAATTACAAAATTAGTATCATAATATAAAGGATAGGTTATTATATTTATTCTAATGTCAAATATGTTAATAATATGATAATCTATTTGTATTGTAAAACAATTATTTTCTTAATTAAATAAACTTATAAAAAATTATTCAACCGATTACATAAATTATATTTTTTTTTTATATATTATTATTATTATTATATTATTCGTTCGTTTCTGTCGTCGTCCATTGTATATTAAATCATTTACCAGTATTTAATCTAAGTTATGTACAATAAAGATTTTTACAATTACAATAATTCGATTATAATTGTAATAGTATACTTAGAATGACATCTTATAAACTGATGGCCCATTTCATCAAATAAATTTCATTTCATTTCAGCAAATAAATTTCATTTCATTTCAGCAAATTGATTTTTTGTTTTGTAATAATGTATGTAAATATTTATGATTCTTAACGTCTGTCTTTAAACAATATAAGAGTTGAGATAATCGAGTTTAAAGTTTTACAAATCATAGACGTAAATATACTTTTTAACAGACATAAAAAAGACGATTTTCAATTGGGTACTTTTTTTTAAATTTTATTTATTTATTTATTTATTTACAGAGTATAACAAATACAGTTATTTAATCGATGATACAAAAGGCCCTTATGCGTTGCCATTCCTGAGGACTCAGGTGTTATATATATATATTATTATATACCTATATACTGTACCCACATAATATATCACGCCATATCCCACCATAATCGAAATTGAAAATAACTGGTTTTGTCACAATTGATGTTGGTTTTTGTTAGCGGAGTACAATTTAATTATATATCTCAAATTACATTATTTAAATGAAAAAAATTGTTACTTGTTTAATGTATTTTTCAAATATTATATGTATTCAAATATTATAATTATTCTTTTATCTCTTGTATTTATATGTAATCGACTTTGACAAACAAGCTGATACACCTAAGTCTCCCTCTGGTAAGATGGATCTATGTATCAATGTTGGTTGTTATTTGTATGCTGTAAGTAATGCAAAAAAATTATATATTTATCAATGTATTGTAATTCAAGTAATTCAATTGCATTAGCTGTTTATTGGAGTAAAACTTACAAATATTAAGGTGGCCTCAGGTTATAAATTTCTGACAAAATTCCCGATTGTACTATATTTTAATAATATTTTTTTATTGTATGTAAGTGTTATAATTGTAAATAAATAAAAAAAGAGAGTTTTAAATATTTTGACAGCTAGATTCACTAGGTTAATTTCTCAAATCCCTTTTTATTGTACTCCAAAAAATTATTTCAAGTATTCCATTTATCAAACATTTATCAAACGATAACAATTTTGGCCGAATTTGCTAAAAAAAACTCAACCTGGAAAATTTTTTCCAGGTTGAGTTTTTTTGAGTGTCTCGGGAAAAAAATTTCACGATCACCTCTAGAACTTTTTTTTAAAAAGAAATGTAATGACTTTGATTTCACTGAATTGATATATTATTAGAAATATATATTATTGTGATAAATAGATCTAGTTTTTATAATAATATTATAATGACTGTTGTTTATGCCAAAGTTAATGATAACACGAATATTAAATAAATAATATTTTTTTCAAATAAAATACATTTATGAAATAATTGTGTTTTTTTTTATAAACATAATGATGGGCTATCATCATCTCGACCATTATCCGTCCTACTGGACATAAGCCTCCCCCATAGACTGCCATAAAGAACGGTCCTGAGCCACCTGCGTCCACCGACTCTTCTTGCATTCACGTCGTCACTCCATCTAGTGGGGCTCATTTTTAAATAGATGATAATGAAATGGTAACCCCGCTTGCGCTAACGGTATATGCTTGTGGGGCACCAGTGAGGTATGATAGGTGAGAATAAAAAGGCAGGTCAGTTAGACCATCATGATGAATTCACTTGGAATTGAACATGGTAGTTTCCAGGGAGAACCGCTAGGAGGTCGACCTGTATTGCTAGCTAGCTAATCCCCATTATTACCAATCCCTTCTCCCCCCTCTAGTGGAGGGGTCAAATGAAGGTCTATACTTATGACTAAGTACATACGATCTTGCACCATTTGTATCTATTGATTCGGGAAGAGATGATTGGGAGTGGGGGTTTAAATAGCTTTATCATAGTTTTGAGATTTTTTTTAATTGGTGATAATGTAACGGTAATCTCGCCTACGCTGTTGCTATGTACTGGTGGGACACCAGTGAGACATGATAGATAGATAGATAGATAATTTATTTGCATTACTTACAGCACACAAATTACGACATACATATACAAAAAAAAGCGAGATAACATAAATGATAAAAAAAAAAAAAATACACAAAGCTAAATACAATTTTCGTTTGTGCGTGTGCCATAGCAATACAAAATGGCCACAACTCAGTTTATTGCTTCGCTCTCAAAAGAGCAAAGCAGGATCTGATAAATGAGGATGAAAGCAGGTGTTGCTAACTCCTTAGTTATTTTAAAGATTTTATATTTTTATTGTACTTTATATACTTTTGTTTTTACAATTGTCACTCTTTGCTTGCTGTCGTAGTCTGTTTTTCATTTGTTTTTTTTTATTATAGGTTTTTTTCCTTTAAACCCATTGTTTAATTACATTAAATATACATCAATATACACATTTAATAATATCGCCCATAGCAGGTCAGTTAGTCCATAGTGACGATTTCATAAGAATTAAACACGAAGGTTTTCAAGGGGAAGCGCGTATTGCTAGAAATGGGGCTTTTAGACCCCATTAGTAATAAATCCCCTTTCCCCGTCATTGGAGAGTTAGTCGAATATTTAAATTGACATACAAAATCTTTAACACTAATCAGATTCGAACCCACGACCTTTGTGATCAATAAGTCGGTATAGCATACCACTGGACCATGTGACTCTTGGCTCTACTTGCTCTATTTAAGAACCTGTATTAAACTCAGAGATAAAAATTAAGGAAAATGGTATTTGCTCATCAATTAGGGACATTTTGATACGTTTATAGATCAAGTTTACATATTTTATCACAATATTTGTTTACATTCAATGTCCAAAGGAATAATTGGGTTGTTATTCGATTTACCAGAGCTGTCCAAAGCAGGGCCCGCGGA